GGATGATTTTCATCTAATTCACTTGAACGTATTAGAAAATTCGACAACTGTTGCGACCGAACAAATTTCATTAACGAACTGACAATATGGAAAAATATGATTACCTTTTTGAAAAACTCTAACACACAAATGAACTTTAAACAAAAACAAACAACTAGACTAACAAAAACTAACGACTTCACCATAGGGAGACACTCCACCACAGGGAGACGGACGAATCTACACTACTCGTGTACATTTATTGAAACCTAAAAAGAAAAATCAAAGAAAATTAAGGGAAAAGGATCGGAAATTATCTAATTCCCAAAGAAATTAGACTATTTCCGGCCTAAACGGCCAAACGGTCAAAAAAATTAAAAAACCCTAGAAAAGAGAAAGAGAGGATGAGTTTAAGACTTTATGTAAATGTAAATATTGCATATTAATTTTACCATACTTTTTTGCATAATTAAGTAAATATTTTCACAAGAAACGTATTACTTTGTACTATACGTATTAAAAATTATTCTTTTTTTGGTGTATTTTATAGTTTATGCTTCCAGCATTATGGGAAAGCTCCAATGCTATGGTTAAAGAGTGGGAAGAAATGACATCCAAGACAGGTTCATGTGAAGTAGAAGTGTGGTCATATTTGGGTAAACTTTCGGCTGATCTTATTTCTAGAGCTGCGTTTGGAAGTAGTTACGTAGAAGGGAAGCGAATATTCGAACTATTAACTGAACAAATACAAGTTGTGCTTCCGGTTTTAAATGCAGTTTATATCCCTGGATGGAGGTAATTCAAACGAGTATACTTCGTAAGATAGATGTTTTAAAGGCTCCCAAATTTTGTTATAAAAAAAAGAAATTTTGTCAGAGAAAATCTTTTAAAACAACTTTTTTGTTGGAAAAAACCTTTTAAATTTTTTTTGGCAACTAATCAGATTGAATTTTTTTTTTTTCAAGACAACCAAGTCTCACATTCCGGCATTGACTTGGTCATTTCCGGCGTTGACCCCCATGTGTAGGTACATAACCTCTTTTTTTTTTTTTTTTACTAATCCCACCCCTTTTCTTCTAATTTCCTCCCTAATTTCCCTCTAACCTCAATTGTTTTTTTTCCCCCTTTTCTTCTAATTGTCCCCCATCTTCTCTCTCCTCTCTTCAAAAATGAGATAATAAATCATCTTCAACCTATTCTCTGCCATGGCTTCACCATAAACTTGCAAACTAATCAATGAAGATGTGGAGTGAAGTTAATTTACACCCATCCTAAACAATAAGTTTAATTAATTTATAGTATTTAAATGATGTTTATTTTCTTTTCTGGGTATTATTTTATGAAATTTTGTGCAATTGCTTTGCCATGGGTAAAAACAAAGCAAGGAAGGAAGGAGGAAAGGAGTTGCGTCATGTTCTAAGAAGCTAAGGGAGACCAATTACAAAGTTATACATAAACCCATATACTTGAATGGAGCCATGGATGCTACATAATTGAGATAAATAGATTTTGTTAGCGCAAATTAAAAAGGGGCAAAAAAAACCCTAAATATTCAAATACCTGCAAAATTGATGAACTTGGTAACAATTACAAAATAATGTAAGTGTATCCTTGGTCAAAATTAATTGCCAAAAACAATTACTGCAATTAATTCAAACTACCATGCTTCAAAGATCTTCAATAAGAGAACAACCTAGCTAGTAAGAGAGGAGAGAGAAGATAGGGGAAAATTAGAAGAAAAGGGGGAAGATTAAAAACAATAGAGGTCAGAGGGAAATTAGAGGGGAAATTAAAAGAAAAGGAGTGGGATTAGTATAAAAAAAAGGGTCATGTGACCTGCACATGGGGGGTCAACACCGGAAATAACCAAGTCAATGCCAAAATGTGAGCCTTGGTTGTCTTGAACAAAAAAAAAGTACAATCTCGTTTCTAGTTGCAAAAAAAAATTAAAAGTTTTTTTCCAACAAAAAAGTTGCTTTAAAAGGTTTTTTCTGACAAAATTTCCTAAAAATAAAATAGATGTAGTAGACATGAAAATTGTTAATTTTCAACAGATTGATTCATATTATTTTGGTACATATATATATAATCCTTAAATTAGCATCAATCTTGGAGGGAAAAATAAGTACAAGTAGCATTTTGGATGGAAAAATTTTCACAAAATTATGCTAAGTGTCCTATCTAGTGATTACTTTAGTATATAGTACTAGGTTAGGTCCCGTGTCATGCACGGTAATTTTCAATAACTATTTTTTAAATTAACATTAATTACACTATATAAATTTTTTTTTGACTTTTGTATGTTATATTCATATCAATTGAATGCTGAAAAACAACAAAAATGGCAAGAAAAAATCACACTAAGAATGATCAACATGTGTCGTTCTTGGCAAGTATTATTGAAGTATGTATAGTTAATTATAGAGTATTAATTGATTGAAATTCCAATCATAATTATTCAAGGAAATAATAAAAGTATTGTTCATTGATTTTATATTCACATTTCATTCTTTAAGCATGTAGCTTCTACTACATAATTTTAAAATAATAAAAAGAGCGAAGAAAAAAAAAAATGTAGTACATAATATTTCTTTCCTTAAAAAAATAGTCCATATGTCACAAATAATGTTAATTTTTTCTTTCATTATTTTTTTTTTATTTTTAGGAAAGATACATCAAATCTTTTATTATACTTTGTATGTAATTATTACTTTATATATGTAAAAGATTTGTTTCTTAAATAGAATTTTTTTTCTGAAAAAAAAACTAAGGACACACCAGGAGATGACACGTGTCATTGCTGGTGTGTCTCTTAGTATATTGTTATTATTGATTGATTGATTTATTCTGAAAAGGTTTGAGAAATATGTGCCAATTAGGTTAGTTGGCATTATTTTTATCTTTATTTTTTTTAAGAAACTAGACTTAATTTACTTTAATTAAAATGTTCTATTAAACTTTTATCTAATTATTAAGCTCATTTTTAATGATACTTACCTAGCTAATTATCTATGCTATGTTAAATGTTTTATAACCATTATTAAAAAAAAATGTTTCATAACCATGCCAAGATCATGTAAATAGTACTAAAAAGGGTATTTAATTGGAATAGTTCATTTTGTGGTTTAGATATATCCCTACCAAGGCAAACAGAAGATTAGTGGATGCTGATAGGGAAATTCGCACTCTACTATAAGGTGTTATTGATAAGAGGAAGAAAGCAATAAAAGAAGGAGAAAAACCAAATGATGACTTGTTAGGATTGCTGTTGGAGTCACAACTTCAAGACAATGGACATAATAACAAAAAACACATTGAATTGACTATTGAAGAGGTGATTAACGAAAGTAAGTTGTTCTACATAGCTGGCCAAGGTACCACTTCAACATTACTTGTATGGACACTAATTATGCTAGGAAAGTATCAAGAATGGCAAGCTCGAGCACGAGAAGAGATCTTAAACACATTTGGGAATCACCTCCCGGATTTTCAAGGATTGAATCATCTAAAGATTGTAAGTCTGTAACGGCCAAGATTATACGAAGTGTATTAACTTGAAATAATTGTTATATTACCTTAATCAATCATAATTTAGATATTTATCACTTGTTTTATCTTTTTAGGTAAACATGATACTTCAAGAGGTTCTTCGATTATATCCCACGGCTTTTAAAATCAATCGTACAGTTACTGAAAATATTAGGGTAGGAGATATCTTCTTACCTGCAGGGTTGTTAGTCAATCTTCCAATAGCCCTTATCCAACAAGATGAGAAGCTGTGGGGTGATGATGCTAAAGATTTTAACCCATCAAGGTTTAGTAAAGGCATTTCTAAGGCAACAAAAGGGAATATGTCATTTTTCTCATTTGGTTGGGGGCCAAGAATATGTCTTGGATCAAATTTTTCTATGATGGAAGCAAAAATGACATTGGCCTTAATTCTACAACGATTCTCTTTCGAGCTTTCACCATCTTATGCTCATGCTCCATCCGCCAATGGAACTCTTACACCACAATTCGACGCACCAATCATATTCCATAGATTATAGGACAAATAATTCATGTACTTTTATTTTTAAATCATAGCCATAATAACACTGTTGTAAAATATAAATTCGTGGTTGTAATTTTAAATTTTACATGGTTTTAATTGTTATCAATTACTTACAATTTCTTTTCTTTTCTTACATTATTTTTCATGCTAAAAGTATGTATGCTTTAGTTAAACATACTTGTGCAAAATAAAAATGGAAAGATAAAAAAGAACCGAGGAAATACGTACATAAGAGAGAGAGAGAGAGAGAGAGAGAGAGAGAGAGAGAGAGAGAGAGAGAGAGAGAGAGAGAGAGAAAGAGAGAAAGAGAATGAGATTGGAGGATAGATGAAGCGAGTGATTTTTATTATATACTTAGAGGAGGTGTCAAAAACTAACCTGATATAATCAGACTCAAAATTACCCAATTCAGATCTCAACTTGCACAGACACAGTACAGTACAATCATTTAGCATGATTCTACTTTGAAATACATACTATTGACCCAATCCGACCTAGTTAACTGTACTAAATTGACACCTCTATATCTACTCATACATATTATGGAGTATTTTTTTCCCTTGTGGTCGATGTTAACATTGTTCTTTCAAACGACGTTACTGGCCTGGTAATTTATACGATTTTTGATAGGGTAACTAAGAGAATATATAAAATTGCTAAATGTTGTTGAATTGAATGAGAATGTTGTTGAAAGTAAATGAGGCAAATAAAGTTGAGATTATTGAAATTTTCCTTTTTTTTTAAAAAAAAAAACCTGAATTAGAAATGGTTTAGTTTGTGCTGTGTTTGGACCGAATAGTAACACAGTTTGATTCGGTTTGAAAAATCCCAAATCAAATTAGTACAGTTTGAACTATAAATTATACCTTAATCCGAACTTTCACCTTTATTGGTAACATGTTAAGAATTTTTTTTTAAAAAAATAATTTTAATAAAATACTTGTTACGGAGTAATAAGGTCATATAGTGCATGTATAAATTTAGAGGATACTATAAAATTTGAAAAGATTGTTTTACAAATTGAATTGAAATAACGCCACAAATTAGAAAAGTTTAGCAATCTACGTAGTATGCATGAAGAACAGGAAAAGCAGTATTCATAAGTCTTTGGAAGGGACTAAGTGAGTACTTTATGAATGCAACAACTTTTGTGTGTAGCTAGCCACACCGTGTGGCCAGCTAACACACGAGTAATCCCTGAGCGACCGAGTAACTCCTAACCAAGTAACCCCTGACTGAATAACCTTTGACCAAGTAACCCTGACCGGATAACCCCTGACCAAGTAAGCCCTTACTGACCTAGTAACCCCTTTTCTTCATCTTCTTCTTCTTCAAATGGAAAATTTATTTGGTGCATGAAGCCTACGATGTCCACTATTTTTCGGCGACAGCAACGGCGGTGGGCAGAACTCACGGTAGTCCAATCTTCCTGTCGACATTCTATCATCGATCATCTCGATCCAAAAATTGGCACTCTTTGACTTTGCTCTGTTTGCAGGTCATGACATTCTTCCCTTTCTCCTCTTCCGATTCCTCCATTACTTTCTCTCTCAAGCTCCCTTTTCCACTAAATTCCGTCAACCAAAATTGTGTTTGAATCTTATTGATTATAGGGTTTCTGTTGTTTGTGAATCATATGTTGTTAATTCTAATTTGGGGTTGTTGCATGATCCTTTTAAGAAGGCTGCTGTTGCGAAGAATTTTGCTGAAAATGATGATTGGGGATGATGAAGAAGAAGAGTGAAGGTGTTTTCCTGCCATTGTTGTAAGGTAAGAGAGAGAAAGTGAGTAGGAGGAAAGGGGAATACAGTACAAGAAAAAAAAAAGTGTGGCTGGCTACATCGTGTCGCCAGCCACATATGAAAGTTTGTCTAATGAATAATACAAAGTACTCCGTATATCTTGGATCCAGTAAAGATAACATTTTAGTCCACAGTACAATGACCCACCAAATTTGTCTACCATTTATTCGATTAGATTATTAACAATTAAAATTATACTACTTCTATTTCATATTATTTGTAACGATTAGACATTTTTTACTAATACTTTATGTCAAATGTTGCAAATAATATGAAATAGAGGTAGTAAGTGTAGGGTTTTGGGTACTCTAAGTGGAATTTCATGAATCTCATTCATACACACCTAAACAAGATTTCATGCATATACAATAAAGGATCACATAATAGTTTAAAATTAACCTTTGATGCGTGAATTCCCACTACTAGAAATAGGCCGATTTCCGATGGACTGTTTCCGACGAACATGTATTTCCATCGGAAATATGAGAAATTCCGACGGATTTTTATTCCGTTGAAAATTTTCGACGAATTTTAACAATCCGTCGAAAATCCATCGGAAATTTCCGCCCGGAATAAAAATCCGCCGAAATATATGGGATTTCTGAAGGAATATTCAGTCGAATATTTAATTTTTCGACGGAATAAAAATCCGACGGAATATTCCGTCGGAATATTCCGTCGGAATTTAATTATATATATATAAAAAAACCAACCTTCCCCCTTAATCTCTGATCTTTTCTCTCTCTCCTCTACTCTTTCCTCTTCTCTTCCCCCTTCTCTCTCCTCCGCCCTCTCTTTCTCTCTCTTCTCCTTCTCCTTCCTTCATTTCTCTTCTCCTTCTCAATTCTCCTCTCTTCTCCTTCTCCTTCTCCTTCTCTTTCTCCTTCTCACACCAACACCGCCACTGCACAACCAACACCACCACCGTCGCTGCGCAATCAACACCACAACCATGAGTTTTGTTTTGATTATTTTGAAGGTTTTTTAGGCCAAATTCGACCATTAAAAGCCTATATATAGACTTTTCATGGCCGAATTTGGCTTTGTTAAACCGATTTCGTGGTGAAATTCGAAGCCCATTTAAATTCAAGGTATGTTTTATTTTTAATTTTGCGCTTTTTTGAGTTTTTTTTCTTTATTTTTTTAAAAAATTTGGGGTTTTGAGTTATGTGTGCGTGTGTGATGTGTGGGCTGGTGGTGGGTGGAGATTTGTAAATTTTTGGGTAGTTTCGTGGTTTCTGGCGTGGGTTAGGGTTGGTTAGGGTTTTGGTGGTTTTGTGGGTTTTGGTTAGGGTTTTGGTGGTTTCGTGGGTTTGGTGGCGTGGGTCTGGGTAATGATTGTGGGTGGCCGTTTGTTCTAAATCTGGGTGGTTTTGGGTTTCTAGGTGGTCTGGTTGGGTTTGGTGGCGTGGGTTAGGGTTAGTTATGGTTTTGGTGGTTTCGTGGGTTTGGTGGCGTGGGATTGGTGGCGTGGGTCTGGGTGGTGGTTGTGGGTGGCCATTTGTTCTAGATCTGGGTGGTTTCTGGGAGGGTTAAGGTGGTGGGTTCAGGTTAGGTGGGTTTGGTGGATGGGTTCTGGTTAAGCTGGTGGTGTGGGCTGGTGGTGGGGGTGGTGGGAGGCGTTTTTTTTTTTTTGTTTTTTTAAAGTAGTTTTCGACGGAATTTCCGTCGGAAATTTCCGATAGATTTGTATTCTGTCGGAACTTTCCGACGGACTTTCTGGTGCCGGAATTTCTCCTCCGACGAAAAAATTCCGTCGGAAATTTCGTCGGAAATTTCGTTAGAAAAACTGTTCCGACGGAAATTCCGTCGAAAATGGTCGTTTTTCCTACAAAAGGGTTTCCGACAACCGGTTCCGACGGATATTCCGTCGGAAACGGGTTTTCCGATGGAATTCAGGGTGATTCCGACAGAGTTTCTCTGTCGAAAATGACCTGTTTTCTAGTAGTGTCCCAAGCTTTCTTCAACCTTCTTGCGGAGGCTAGAGCCCCAATTGTTGCTCCTCTATTATTGTTCCACAAGTGTAGATCAAACCTCCACCAATGCTAGTTGGACAGGAAAGATTAATCTTCCTCTTCTATGGAGAACTTCTAACCGGTTGTAGAGAGAGAGGGGAGGGGAAAAATATTTTTTCGTTATTTTTTTCTTTTGTGAAAGATGAATATATGTTTTATTTTTCCCTAAATCCTTTATTATATAATCATATTATCTAATTAGGGCAAGACTCATTTCCCTTCTTATGGCCATCCAGTCTTTCACTAAATCCATTTTTTGGATTCGGTTTCCTTGTTCGACCTAACATTATAACGTGTGGCCTCATAGGATCCATGTAGTTGTCATTGATTGATTTAACCCATTGATCAATATATGTATCTATCAAGACATAAAGACGGCGACCCAACTAAACGAACTTATTATCTCCATAATACGATCCATATTATATTTAGTAATTGCATGAGAGTCGAGGACACATTTCCTTTAGTAAGAACCATTAACAGTGCCAGACAACGTACACTTAAAAAATTCTTAGCCTTTCATGTTTAAAAAATAAGTATAAATAAATTCGATTTTCGTTTATATGTAATTGGGTATGAAAGGTTGGTTATTCTAGAATAATCAAAAGATTAGATTATTTTAAAAGAATTAGCTTAATTTTTTTTTACTGAATGAAAAAGCTTAAATCTTATGTAATATAGGGAATAAAAAACTAATTTGACAATTATCTTACTGATAATAATTTGATGGGCTTCCTGTCTTCCGAATAAAAATATAAAATAAAAAAATTAATTTGATGGGGTTATCGATTGAGTGTGATATGTGAAGTTGACTTAAAAATTTCACAAACTATTGGGTGCAGCAGTCCGCACCCAATAGTTTGTGCGGCAGCGGCAACGATACTCAACGTCTTCAAATTTCTCCAAGTACAAAGAACTCATGTCCTATAACATTTCATCAAATCCTAGTATTCAACCTCAACATCAAAATATTCATCCTTAACCCTAACATCAAATAAACAAACCTAAGCAACTTACAATCAATCAATTAAAATGCCAATAAAAACCTAAAAAATCGCAAGAAAATAAGAGTTTAATACCATTGCGAAGACCGATGCTAGCTTGTTGCAGGTGGTTGTTGTGGGGATGCGGGTTTTGGTGGCTGGAAATTCAGGGCCTGCTCTGCTTGTGGTTGGTGGCGATTAGTGGTCGATTTTGGGTTTTGGTTGGAGATGCGGCTGACTGGTGGTTCTGGGCGGATAATTACAGCGAGGTGGAGTGTACTTCAGCCGCGATTCGCTGGTGTGAGTCGCAAGGGAGGTGCAGTTACAGGTCGCGGCCGTTGTGGACAGTGTTTGTGACTGATTGATGGCGGTTCTCTGTTGGTGGAGTTCGCTAGTTCATGGTGGCTAGTTGGGCGGCAGTTGGGGAGCAGCGGTGGTGCTGTTGTTGTTGGTCGCTCATGTTGTTGTTAATGAGAAACCTCATTCTTATTTGAAACAGAGAGAAAGAAAGAGAGGAGAGGGAGAAAGAGGATATAGAAGGAAATAAAAATATATTGTATATTGTTAATCATATTAGCCAACAAATGACGCATATCAGACATTAAAATAATAACATATCAGCCAATTGATGTCTAATATCAGTCAACATTAGAGACTATCAGATATTAATAAAAACGTATCAGTCAACACAAGGGACATATCAGCCAACAAATGAAACATATTAGCCAACGAAAGGAACATATCATCCAACAAAAGATACATATCAGCCAACAAAAGGAACATATCAACCAAGAAATGAAGCATATTAGCCAACAAAAGGATGAAATCAGCAAACAAAAGCAACAAGCTGGTAAGGCAACAAAATAAACACATCAGCCAACACAATGAAACATGTAAGCCAACAATTAAAATATATATATCAGCCAACAATAAATGTATTAGCCGGCTAAAAAAAATATCAGTCAACTGATGTCTTATAGCAGCCAACAAAAGAACATATAAAAAAAAAAAAAACTTATCAGCCAACAAGAAATATATTAACCAACACAAAAATCATATCAGCCAGCAAATAAAACATATTAGCCAACAAATGATATATATTGGCTAAACCTGACGCACTTAATTATGCGTGCGACAATATGCACCCAATACCTTCTCTAAAACTTTAAATGTGGGAGAATTAAAATTGCTTTCTACATTTTCTTTCTTTACGTTTTTTGTCTTTCATTATTCAAAGGAGTAAAAAAAAAATTAAAAATAAAATTAATAAAAAAATTAAAAAAACACCTATTAATATTAGCCACGTAAATCTATATGTAGACTTGTAAAATAGTTCCCTTCCGTCCCACTACACACTGTCATACACAATCACTTTATTTAGGGATTGGGGCATGTAACATTGCTAAGTCAAAGTATAATTTTTTTACAACTTTCCCCCCCCCCCTTTTTCCCTTTTTTTTTTCTTTTAATGCATCAATTTAACTTTTGCATTATTTATTATTTATATGTTTGACTTACTTTTTTTGCTATTATAAAATAAATAAATGTTATTATATAATATATCATTAGATTCGTGACAATGTCTAGTTTAATAATATAATTTTATAACAAGTTTTACTAATATACAATTAAAAAATATTAATGGTCACAGTTATTTCTTGGTAAATGTGCCGGTCAAACGATGCTTTTTTTAAAAAAAAAAAAAAAAAAAAAAAAAACAGAGTGAGTAATACTTCTCCTATCTCCTCGATCTCCCTAAAATCCTAACCTTCAGTGTTGAATTTTAGAGAGGATTTCATCGAATTTATCATTTAAAAGGTCCACTCTTTATTTCTTGTGCGTGTTTTCTCTACATTGTTTTTATTTGTTTTTAGTATAATAATAATTTTTCCTCTTCTAATTTCTCATCACTTGAAAGAACGAGTTATTTTTCTTCTTTTTAAGAAGATTAATCTTCTATGAAAGACAGGGTTTTTATTCTCTTTTTGAGAGAGGATTTGTTATTTATTTATTTTTTTTTAATTCTTTTTTTTCAGATGTCTCCAAAGTCCAAAGAGACTACTTATTTTTATTTTGATAAATTGCTATAAAGTTGTTTTATAATTAAAGATATGTGCGGGATAAAAAAAGTGGTTAATACTTGGTGTCTAACTATGGGGATTAGATGATCGAGTGACTGACAACAGTAATCCAATCTATTGACCGACACTAGTAATCCAATCAATTGCACCGTCATTTACTTGTAAAGAAATTTCAAACGCATGAGAGTTATCGAGGAGAGCACAAACGTCACTAGTGACGTAATAGATTTGCCATTGGAGATCCCGATGCCTTTAATTGCGATGTTTGTAGTCGATAAGTCAGTGTCTAATACTGCTAATATTCTGATTTAAGACTTTTCCTTACTACGAATACGTAATTAATCTGACAACTACACTAATGCCTAATTATAAGGTAATTAACAAATCATATTTCATTAAAATACTCCGTTGGATTGTTACACGTAACGAAGGAAACATCATAGGCGGTTGCATTTGTCTTCATGCCTAAGCTAGTGAAAGTTGCATGGTCCATTTGAATATTCAAACCTTATAAGTTATAAACAACACCACTCATTATTCTATTCTACATACTATATCTTTATTGCCATATCTCATAGTCTACTTTTTATCCCTTCATTTCTCTTGTATATTGAAACTAAGATTTTTTTTTTTTTTTTTATTTTATATATTTTTTTTAAATGAAAATACGCAAAAATTGGGGCAGTCTTATTTAAATGCTAAACCGGTAAACCGACTGTACTTTCCGAAGAAGATATAGCATATATGGAAGTAACAAGTATGTCAATAGCAATTTCTTTGGTATGTATTGTGTTAGTGAGTGTGTCATGGTGTGTATTAAATTGGGTATGGTTTAAGCCAAAAAGATTAGAGAGATGCCTTAGAAATCAAGGGTTTAAAGGTAATTCTTACAGGCTATTGCATGGAGACACTAAGGATAGAGCTACTATGACTATAGAAGCCAGAACAAGCCCTCCTTTGCCTGATTCGTCCAATGACTATCTTCCACGTGTCCTCCCATTCTTCCTTCAAACTCTGAACAAGTATGGTATGTTGGCTCTAAAAATAATATCAATTTTATTGATTTTTAAATTCTTATGATTTTATCATGTTTGCTTAAACAAAATGAGCAGATGAATATTGTTCATTTTGCATACAAAAATAAGAGGAGTTGTTTCGTTCATTTCGCCTGATTTTTCTTATTTGCACTGAATGATCATATTCGTCAAGTTATAAGAACAAAACCAATTTGCTCATTTGTGCTAATGAGTTAAACTGATTTGCTCATATTAAACATTATTATATATTCCCTCGATATGTTTTTTAAGGCAATTGTTATACATTATAAAACATTACTCCGTATAATTTAAATTTTACAGGTAGAAGATGTTTTGTATGGAATGGACCAGTGCCCTTAGTGACGATTGCGGAACCAGAGTTGATAAGAGAAGTGTTCATGAAGATCCACGAGTTTCAAAAGCCAAGGACTAACCCTCTTTTAGAGAAGGTTGCCTCTGGTTTGGTTATGTTAGAGGGCCAATTTTGGGCTACTCGGAGGAAACTTCTTACTCCAGCTTTCCACATGGACAAGCTTAAGGTTATACTTCTTACATTTTCTAATTTGTACTCGTATAAAATTACAAGTGCAACTTAATATTCTAGCATTCATGTTTATTAAAAATTGATTTATATACTACGGAGTATGATATAGATTAGAAATAGATTGCGCCTGTTTGAACATGTGAAATGCCATCTAGAATATGCTCTTGAAGAAAAGTGTAATTGGGGTTTAGAAGAATTAAAATTTAAGGAAATTGTGGAAGTTATAATTCTAGAATACGAGTTTATAAGGGCATGTATCAATAGATTGAAGTGAAATTAATAGAACCAATCCAATTTTATGGTGGGTTATTGTTGTCATCTATTGTATTTGACATTAAATTTGTTATTTTTGACAAGTATATGACTTTAAATCAAAGTTGGCACTGTGCTTTCTCGACTAGTGTAAGATAAGTCGATAAGGTTCAATTTTGAAAAAAACACATCACATTCAAATATATGATAAGATAATATATTGAAAAAAAATAAAAATTCATCCATTAACTAACTTAAATTTTGTGTGATTTTTTTTGTAGTTTTGTTTTAGTTTTAGTTTTTTAGATGACTGTAGTTTCATGTAAAATTTTTTCTTTGATATTGATGTAAATTAAGAGTTTCTCATTAAAAAAAATTAATATACACCAGAGTGTATTTAAATTTTAAAATTTAAAATGAGCCAAATATATATATATATATATATATATATATATATATATAGAGGAAGGCTCATGTAAGAACCCTCCTCTATATAAGAACTCAATCTTATATAAGAACCAATCTCAACTATTTATTAGTTTTGATCCAACCATCTAAAACCATCCTTTAGTAATGGCATTTTTGTAATTCTTTTTTTATGTTCTAAATTTTTTTGCCTACTCTTATGTTCTAAATCTAGTCTACCTATTTTCTAATTTTTTTTTTCTATGTTCCAAATTTAGTCTACTTATATACTAAAGTTTTTTTTTTTTTTTTTTTTTTTTTTTTTTTTTTCTTCCTATGTTCTAAATTTTTCCAACCTATGTTCTAAAGTTTTTTTTCTTCTTCTTATGTTCTAAATATTCTTTTACCTATGTTCTAAATTCTTTTGCCTATGATCTAAATTCAGTCTACTTATGTTCTAAACTTTTTTTTTCCTAAGTTCTAAATTTTTAATACCTATGTTCTAAAGTTTCTTTAGTAATGGCATTTCTGTAATTCTTTTTTATGTTCTAAATTTTTTTGCCTACTCCTATGTTCTAAATTTAGTCTATTTATGTTCTAATTTTTTTTCCCTATGTTATAAATTTAGTCTACTTATGTTCTAAAGTTTTGTTTTCTACGTTCTAAATTTTTTCTACCTATGTTCTAAAGTTTTTTTTTCCTATGTTCTAAATATTCTTTTACCTTTTGCCTATGTTCTAAATTCAGTCTACTTATGTTCTAAAGTTTGTTTTTTCCTATGTTCTAAATTTTTACTACCTATGTTCTAAAGTTTTTTTTTTTTTCTTATGTTCTAAATATTCTTTTACCTATGTTCTAAATTTGTTTTTTCCTATGTTCTAAATTTAGTCTACTTATGTTCTAAAGTTTTTTTTTTTCCTATGTTCAAAATTTAGTCTACTTATTTTCTGCTCATATAACTTAGTGCTAATTTAATTTGTTTTATTGGATTTTTTTTAAAAAAAAAAAAACATTTGAAGTTTTTTTTAGTTATTTATAAAGATAACCTATGAAGGAATTGAACCTACATCCTCTATGCATTTGCATAATGCTCTTCCAATTGAGCTAATAGGTTTTATCATATGTTCTAAATATTATTTGCATATGTTCTAAAATTTATTGCTTAAGCTCTAAATTTTTCAATCTAAGCTCTAAATATATGTATGTTCTAAACTATTTTCCTATGTTCTACATTTTATTGTTTATGTTCTAAAGTTTTCTGTCCATGTTCTAAATATATATCTTATATTTAAATTTTTTTGTCTATGTTCTAAATTTATTTCGTATGTTTTAAATTTTTTTCATATGCTCTAAATTTTTTTTGTATGCTCTAAATTTTATCCTATGTTCAAAATTTTTTCTACCTATTTTCTATTTTTTTTTCCGTACGTTCTAAATTTTTTCTATCTATGATCTAAACTTTATCATATGTTCTAAATTTTTACCTTATGTTCTAATTTTTTTCACCGTATGTTCTAAATTTTTAGTATATGTTCTAAACTTATTTTCTATGCTCTTTTTTTTTCCCAATATTCTAAATTTTCAATTTTTTTTCCTATGATCTTTTTTTTTTCCCAATGTTCTATATTCCTATGTTCTAAATTTTTACTATGTTGCAAATCATTTTCTTATGTTCCAAATTTTTCCTATGTTCTAAAGTTGTTCGTATATTCTACACCTATGTTCTAAAGTTTTTTCTACCTATGTTCTAAAGTTTTTTTTTTTCCTATGTTCTAAATATTCTTTTACCTATGTTCTAAATTCTTTTGCCTATATTCTAAATTTAGTCTACTTATGTTCTAAAATTGTTTTTCTTTTCTATGTTCTAAATTTTTACTAACTATGTTCTAAAGTTTTATTAGTAACAATGTCAATAATTTGTGCAAAATTTGGGATAGTAGAATGTAACGAGTAAGTAACGGCACTCAATGTAGGAATTAGGTGTATTTGAATCAAAGGTTAGCCGTGAATTAACCTTTCCCTAATATGAGACAATGCTCCAATCGTGTCATTACCGTTACATAATCTAGGTTTAGTTAAGCATAATTAAACATGCCGCTCCTGAATGAGCATAATCCCTGCAACACACAACTGAAA